CGGGTCCCATTGTTCTCAGAGGCCGTGGGTCCCAGATCTCCCAGGGGGCAGCGTGTCAGCCACCCACTCACGGGAAATCAGGATTAAGCCAGAGCCCTAGCCTAAGGTCCTCAGAGGACCACCCTCCAGTCCTCCTGCACCTGGGCAGGACGGCCCTGTGGCACCGAGGGAACAAGCCTCCACCGCCCTTGGCCCCTCTGGGCTAGCGGGGCTCCAACTGCTCTGGGAGGGGATCTGGGCCGCGAGGACCCCACATTCCCCTGGGCAGCCGGTCAGCACAGAGGAAACGGAGGAATTCGTGGGACAGAAGGTGTGGCACGCCATCAGCCTGGCAACCCCTGGAGCCTGTGGCAAGCGCCCTTAAGATGGCACCTGGCAGAGAGCCAGCGCTAGTCTAGTGGTAAACAACTTCGCAGAAGCGGTGGCATGAGGGCATGGGGAGCACGGGAACACCACATGCAACCAATCAGATCGCGAGAGCCGGCTTCCGCGCACGTGGACAGTAAACGGATTGGCTGGGAGGCCTTTACGAGGGAGGCGGGCCCGCGGAAAAGGGTTAGAAGATTGTAACGATCCTGGGAAAATAAACCGCTCTGAAGAAGACCTTGTCAAGAAGGGGCTGGCTGTGCTTCCCCAGAGAGCACTTCCTGCCACCCCAGCCGGTTAGCAGAGTGGCCTGGGAGTGAGTAACGCTTTGGGGGGCACACAGAATTCTCCAGAGAGTGAGGGGCTTTCCGAAGCTGGGGCAGAGGATCGACTCCCAGGTTCGGGAGTCATCTCCTCTCTGCGGCCCTCGGCCTGAAGGAGCAGGAGAGCAAGGGGAGCCGAGGGCATGGCCGGGACGGGGCAGTCAGGGTCATGCCCTGCAGTGAGCCCTGACACGTCCCACGTCCGGAGGCAGGACCGGGCCTGCACAGGGAGAGCTCGGTGGCTGTCCAGCCTGAGCTGGGCGGGAGAGGTCTGGGCAGACCCCTCTCCTCTCAAAGCCTCCCTGCTTCCTGCACCACGCCCTGCCCGCCCATCCCTGCAAAGACCCACTGCAGAACCACACTTTAAGTCCCTGCTGTCATCCTCACTGGGCACCTGCCCTAACCCGCGCTCGCCTCCTCTCCGTCCAAGTTCCCACGGTCTTCTCCCGGCCCCGCAGTATTTCTGCCCTCTCCCAGCCCAGCCCCTGAGTCCTCCTCTCTCCCTGACCCTCTGCCCCCCACCCCGTCTCTCAGCAGTCTTACCCACCCACACCTCACTGACATGCACCCGGCCTTCATCTCTCTCTTCCGCCAGAACCTCCAGTCTGCCCTGTACACGGACGCCGAGCCTGGCTAGTCCAGCCTCCAGGGCCACTCAGATGCGTAGCTTGATCACAAGAGGTGTGTGGCCTCGCCCTGCTCAGACATGGGCACCTGCTTCTGCCTTCTCCCTCACGGAGTGCGTCTAACAAGGGGATGCTCAGGGAGTTCCTGGCCCTTCGAACCTTCTACCGCGACTTGATTAGGAAGAGGACAAGAGGAAGCGGAAGAGACTTGGAAAAGCCTTCCCCAAACGCCAAGTATGTCCGGTGAAATGAATCCCTTCTTAAATGCTTTCCCTAAAGGGAGGTCTAAGAGAGGGGGCATTTCTCCTGCGTGCGTTCCAACACTAACTGTCCTGAGGAGACCAGCGAGACCTCATCTCTCCAAGGACGTCCATCCTGAAGGCTCGGGGGAAGTGGATCGTTTCCAGGTCCCAAAGAAGCGAATTCACTGGGCATCAACAAAACCGCAATAAAACAAAGACAGAAACTTGAGGGTCCTCCATGACAAGCGAACACACGACCCTATGCATTATGGCGTGCTCGGCGGGCCCCACGTGTGTTAGCTCTCACCGGCGGCCATGCACACGGGAGACTTTGTCTCCCTCAGCGGTAACCCCGGAACCTGCAGGCAAATGAGGGGGGCGTGGAAAGGAGGAAGTCGCGGCTTTCCCCAGAGAAGTGCAGGAGGGAGGGACGGAGAGGCCCCCAGGGCCCCTGAGAACACAGCCTGGGCTCACAAACCAGAATGAGGGTGCAGAGAATACAAGGAAGTGACTCTCTTCTCGGAGGCCTTGACCCATAGGCCTGGAGGTCACGCCCCTGCAGCATCCCAGTGAAAAGGCCCAGGTTCCAGGCCTCGGCCGAGCCCACCACTGGAGCCCGCCAGCATTGGAGAGGTCATTTTTTCCGTTTCAACAGAGCAGACCTTAACGCCTTCAGCTACCGGGGGGCTTCAGGGAGCACCGGCAGGGGCCCCGGCTGCCATTTGGTTCCTTGGCCAAAAGGTCCTGGTCTTTGAGACCAAACTCTGGGAAGAGAGGGCCACCAGTCCCCACCAACCCACCTGCCCACCCAGTGCTATCCAATACTGGGTCCCCGCTCGGCGCCCCCGTGTCCTGTCAGGAGCCCCTGGAGGCGGCACTGCGAGCCCACGGTCACACGCAAGAGCAGAGGCCCTGCACCGTCACCCAGAGTGATCAGTGACTGGTCACCGGCTGGCCGGGCCGTAGGGACCACCCTCAGTGCAGAGCCAGCCTCTACACAGGGGGCCGCCTGCTGGCCCAGCAGCCTCTGGTGGCAGCCAAGAAAGGGAGGGAACAGAGGAGGAGGCCTGCTGGCAACTCCAGGAGATGCCGGAAGCCAGACCAGGGAGCAGAGCCAGCTGGGCATCCCCTGGCTCAGTCACAGGGGCCAGTGGCCTCACCGCGGCAGGTCCCACGAGGACAGTGAGGGACACAGCGAAAGCCCCGCAGTAAGGCTCCCTGAGTTGAGAGAGCAGGGGCTTCCAGGCTGCCCATGGGAGCCTGTCTGTGAAGCCCTCCATTCAGGCTGCTTTAGTTCACCCCTTGGGAAAACATCCAGCCCAGCTTCTGGGACCCCCACATTGTGGTGGTGCGGAGCGTGCCAGCCCCAGAGGAACCCAGTCAGTAGCCTTGGGAAGGGCCGTACCAGACTCGAAGTCAGGTTCGGATGCCCCCTCCACGCAGTAAGCCGTGGTGTTAAGTTGGGGGTGCAGGGGACTTTGGCAGTCCTGGCAGGGCTGGGGGAACGTCCCAACCGAGCAGATCTGAGGGAAGCGTGGGTGCAAGAGGATACACAACCACCTCGGTCGGAGGACCCAGACAGACGCCAGGATGCGAGAGGCCAGCCTGCAGGGCAGAAATGGGCCGGAAGCCTCACAAGGTGAGACAGTCCGGTCCCCTCCTAGCCACGGCCAGGGAGAGAAAGGAGGGCCTGCCGAAACAGAGAGAGCTCACCTACCCCGTCTGCCGGCCCCCCAGGAGAAATGCGGCTGGAGTTGGTGTATCACTGTTCTCTTTGGCGGAGGGAGGTGCAGCTGGTGCAGAGAAGTCCCCCGGACTGCGTCCTTTCTGCAGAGCAGGAGCCCCAGCAGTAGCTGGGAACACCTCGCAAAGGCTGTGCTGGGGCGTCACGGTCCCACCTAGGGACACGGCCTTCCCCGCCGAAAGGTTTCACTCTCGGCGTTTGAACACAGCGGGGAACGTTCGCTTGCTTTTGATTTTTCTTTTCTTTGCAGTCTGTCACCTGATTGAGATCACAAAAATGCAAGAAAGATGCTCCCCTAAGGGGAACGAAAGGAGCCAGAGGGAGGGGGAGGCCTCTAAGCTCCCGGAGAGCAGCGACGGCCGGGATGATCCGGAAGCGAAGGGGCGCGTTCATGACCAGCTCCCTCAAAGCGCAGAAAAGCAGAGTGCCAGCACCGAGTCCCGGGGTTGGGCAGGCCTAGAGCCGCCAGGCACGTGTCCACTTCCCTGAGTGGCACAGGGGACCATCGGGGCCACGGGACACGTGGGCAGGGCCTCCAGGACACCACGGCAGCTCGAGGCCGACCTGTTTTCACTCAGCGACAAGCTGGCTCCTGTGAGCGGCAGGGTGTGAGGTCGAGAGGAACCAGAGCGTCAAGGGGGAGGGGGGTGTTCGATTCTGCATTCTGATGACAAAGGGAATTCGTGATTCTCCCAGCATGGGAGTGAGAGTGGCCGAGCATCCCTGCGTGGGATTTTCCCAGCGTCCAAAGAGTCTTTGGCCAAAATCGTTTTCCTTGAAAGTTGCATCTTCCCAGTTAATGTTTTCCAAGGGAAGAACTGAAAAGTCCCCTGGGGTATGCAGGGCCCGTTTCCCATGAGCTCACTTGGAGGAGGTGGGTGGTAGGTGACCCTGCTAGCGTCCACATGTTCCTTAGTGAACTGCACGTTGCATCCAGCCTTCTTCCTTATGGGCAGACGGGTACACTCAACAGTTGCTTGAGAAGTAATACAGGAACCTTCATGAAATTCTTTTGGTCCCTGGTAAGTACAGAGACCAGAAGAGGCCCCAAACAGCGAGCATGGGCCCTGGGCGACTCTTGAACTGTCTCTGGGTGTGTTCTTCATTCAGTGGTCCAACTTTTGAATCCCCATTTTAAAGATGCTTTTATCCCTGTATTTTAAAAAAAGGCCCACCATTAAAACCATGTTCACGATTTACTCATTAAGATAGGTCGTCTGCTTGTTTAAACACGTACAAAATACCAAGCTTTGTAAAGACATAGTGGTAATCGCAAGTCAGCCGCCTCTCTCAAAGGTGTTCAGTCTGAAAAGACACACGTATCGCCTTCTAGATGTTTCTCTCTGCTCGGACACACACACGGTCACAGGCAGGCACACACATCTGTGTGTCTGTTTTTTTGGAAACTGGGCTACAATCGACCCACATTGTGCCACACCGTTTTTCAACTGATTATCTACCATGGTCCCCAGCTAGGTTGGTTAACAGAAAAGTTTTAGGAAATTCTTTTTTTTTTTTTTTTTGAAAGAATTGTTGTGTTGTTGGAAAAGTCATGATGTATTTTCTCTCTGCAAAAAAATGTGTCATGACTTTTCTAACAAGCCAATATTTATTTTAGTTTTTATTTTGCCATAGGGCACATGCACTCACCAGAGAGAAAGAAGCAAGTTGTCAGGTCCAGGACTCGAATCATGGTTGGCCATTACGGGAATCCAGTGCCTTAGCCACCATGCCACCTGCAGGCCCCCCACAGGAAATTCTTAGGATGAAAAAAAACTTTGCATACATTTCAGAATTTTTTGCACCAAAATAAACTTGTACTTTAATTCCACTGTCTGCAGACTCTCTGACGTTTCTCTCACCTGGTGCTGATACGGTGTTTTAGGTTCTGTTTAAGCTATCTACACACAAATGAATTTCACAGGTGGTAAAATTAAGGTTCACCTTATATATGCTTACGTCTCTCCATATGGACTGGAAAGACGTGAAATCTCCCTTTCCCAACCTTTTATTCAGCTGTTCCTTTTATTCAGAGCTCTCGGGATTCTTTCTCAGCGTACTCCCCCCAGTCCTGCGCATGGTAACCAAGTCCTGGAGCTCCGTGCCTAAAGTCCTCTCCCCCTAGTAGAACCAGCATCGTCTCAACTGTATCATCTGATATTTACCCAAATATTCTGGTATGGCGTGACCACAAATTCAGAGGGGTCGGGTGGGGAGAGTTCTCCAATGTCTCACCCTCCACACTGTCCCCACTCCACTCCCGTCTGGTGCTCTCAGGTGCTGGCTTGGGCACAGGGAACTTGTCTAGGCTGAGAATGGGGAGTCTCTGAAGTTCTGCCAGCCTTACAGAAGGTCCTGACCCTGCTCTTCGGGGCAATCTGCACTGGATCTGAAGAATAATGTCTCTAAACGCTGCCAGGGTCCCCCATGTGCCTCACAGTCCCTTAATCTGAGAGTCCATCCTTTTCAGAACCAGGTAGCACAGTGGTTGAGGCGCTGGACTCCCACATGGCTGATCATGGTTCAAATCTCAGACCTAGGGGTTTGCTTTCTCATTTGCTTTCTCTCTCTCTCTCTCGCCCCATCTCCATCTCTGTCTCCATCTCTCTCTGGTGAGTTTGTGTGTGCCCTATAGTAAATTAAAATACTACTAATAAAATGAAATAATTCTTAGAAGAAAAAAAGAGCCCATCATTTTCCCTTTATTTATTTATTTTTTTGGAGAGGTTTTCACTGTAGGACGTGTGTGCTCACCAGACAGACAGACAGAGACAGAGAGACAGAAAGTGAGAAATCACCTCCCGGGGGGGATGGCCATGCCACAATCCCTTCTCCTCCATTCTCCTCTTATGATCCTGGGCATGCAGGCACATGTGCCTGGCTTGAGTCCAAGCCACTGGGTCCAGGACGTGAACCGCGGTCGACTACATGGGAGTCCAGCGACATAGCCATTATGCTAACTGCTGGTCCCCCCCTTTGTAAAGTACTGATGATACTTAGCGCTACCTAATTTTCCTCTTGTCCCTCGTGCCTCTCACCTACTCCAGACACTGCATCCGCGTCTCCTCGTAGGTGTGTCTGAGCCACTCTAGCACACGTGGAAGTTGCCAGAAGCACACCGTTATGGCATCTAGGAGTTGGCGATACTGGTCTATCGGCCCCCATTGTCAAGTGGCTGGAAGATAATTCCTCTTGCAGCATGGATTGTCTTAGGTTGAGCGTGCTGGAGGCAGAGCCTGGAATGGGGGGGTGTCATGAAAGAGAGGGTGCTGTCAGGGCAAGGAGAATGAGGGATGCAGCGTAAGGCAGAATAAGAAATGCAGCACTGAGTGCTCCCAGCCAAGACTACTCAGAGCCTGATGCCACGGGGAGCTCCAGAGCTCAACAACCATACTCTAAAGGAGGGGGGTCCTCTTGACTGAATGGAAAGATGAAAGAATCACCAAGAAGTAGAAGCTGCTTACTAATGGGAATTCCAGATCTGAAAAAAACAATAGTCCAAGTAAGAAAAAAGACTACTTGATAAGCTCAATAGTGGAATGAAGATGCCATAAAAACAAAACAAAACAAAAAAAAAAAAACAATGAACTTGAAACTATATTTCGAAAGAAATTGCCCAATCTGAACACAAGAGGGGAAAAATGATTGGAAAAAATGGATCGAGCCTAAAGGACCTAACAGACAACGCAAAAGGTCTAACATTCATTCAGTAGAATCCCCCCTCCCGTTTTTTAAAAGAGATTTTGGCTATATGGTGTATCCACTCACCAGAGAGAGAGAGAGAGAGACAGAGAGCCCATGGGAGAGGAGACAGTGTTGGTAGTACGGAAAAAAGCATGTGAAGAAAATTCCCCAAACTGGTGAGAGCCATAAACTTACAGATCAAGAAGCTCAGACAAGGCCAGACAGGATAAACTGAAAGAAGCCTGCATGCAAACGCATCCCCATCAACTGCTGAATATAGTACTAAAGAAAAGGAAACCCCATGGAAAAGCCAGAGGGGCAGAGCACATTCTCACAGGGAAACAGAATGACAGGGACTTTTTCATTAGAAATGAAAGCACAGTGGCCCGAGGCAGTGGGATGGTATTTTTTTTTTAATGCTGAGAAAAGGAAAGCTATTCATGCAAAATTCTGTATCTAGTGAAAACATCCCAAAGAAATTACTTTAAGAATTACATTCTCAGACGAAGGAAAATGAAGAGAATCCCTCACAACTAGACATGCTCTTCAAGAAATGCTAAAGGAGGGAACCTGCAGTTAGCGTAATGGCTATGTCGCTGGACTCCCACGTAGTCGACCACGGTTCGTGTCCCGGACCCGGTGGCTTAAAACTCACGCCGGGCTCGTGTGCGTGCGTGCCCAAGATCCCGAGAGGAGAATGGAGGAGAAGGGATTGCGGCGTGACCATCCCCCCTGGGGGGTGATTTCTCGCTTTCTGTCTCTATGTCTCTCTCTGTCTGGCGAGCGCACGCGCCCTATAGCGAAAATCTCTCCAAAAAAAAGTAAAAAGAAATGCTAAAGGACTCATATTCGTGCTTAGACACAAGCTGCATTGAGACTAGCCGACGGCATAATGGTTACATTGCTGGACTCCCATGTAGTCAGCCGTGGTTTGATTCCCGGACCTAGTGGCTTAATATGGTGGGCACTTGTGTGTGCATGCCCAAACTCCCAAAAGGAGAATGAAAGACAAGAGATTGCAGCGTGGCCATAACCCCCGAGAAGTGATTTCGCACTTTCTGTCTGTGTTTCTCTGGTGAGCACACACACCCTATAAACAAAAATCTCTTTTAAAAAAAAAAAAAAGAAAGAAACTGCATTAATTATTAGTTTTAAATCTAAGCACAGTGGTGAGAAGCTCAATATTGCTCTTTATTTTGAGTGGAATAAGATTACTCAGATCTGTTAGCCAACTTCTGAGGTGCTAATGTCCTGGGTCTCAAAGTCCAAGGACCTTTGGGGCTGGTGGTGTCTTCGGCAAAGCAGGCAAACCATCCCTTCCGTCTTGGCTTCAGGCCGCTTTGCATTCTCTATTTCTGCTCTCTGTCTTCCTACCCTCTTTAGAGCTGTGTGGAAACTCTCTAACAAATGGTCTGTTTTTGTTTACAGCTCCATCTGAACTTCCAGTTTACCCCAGTCTGAGATCCACCACCCCCCACACACCCCTCCTAGCCTTCCCAGCCCTCCACCCCACTGCCTGATACATGGGGTTTCCCTGTTCCCCTCTCGGCATCGCAGGCCCACTCTCCACCATAAAGCCCTTCTTTGAGGGGCTCACTTTCTCTATTATCTCCTGATGCTTCACAAACTCTTCTGCAGCCTCTCTCTGACCGCCTGTGCACGCACTCAGCCCACGCACAAACGCAGCTTTTCTTTGGGCTTGGTCTGTGATACACAGGCTCCAATCCCAAGGCTTCCCCTCAGGAAGTAAAGAACGCTTCAAGTGTGGAGGGCCAGGAGACGGGCCCACAGGGTTACGCATCTGTACACAGCCGGCCGCTCCTCTCCCCAGCGAAGTGCTGGTTTCCAAGAAAGTAGGAACCAAAAAAAGAAAAAAGAAAACCCTGACTCCCGATAGCCCTGGGATTGAGGCCGTTCCCAGAGAAGCATTCCAGGCACATACGGAAGCGATGGCGGCAGTAAGAAATTTGTGAATTCTCCTCCCATGGGTCTTCTCTGAAGGAGCACCTGTCTCTTAGTGAGTCACACGGGACAAGGTCTAGACGGGAATGAGAATGCCTCCACAGGCGGAATAGATCTTGCACACACACTTCATCAGCAAAGAGCCTCAGGGCAAAGCTGAATGGAAAAGCAAAGTGGGTCGCACGGGCTCCTCCGCCCAGAGCCGCAGTATGAGGGTTTCATGGCACACAGGAAAAAGGACCCGGGACATGCTGCCTCCCTCCCTTTCCCTCCTCCCTCGAGATGCACGCACTTTTCTGAGTCAGGCCCCACACACCCCCAACTCCACTTCCGGTCCCATTCTCAATTACGTAACAAAGCCAGGCCGTCAGTGGTGAGGCGACACCCAGGACCGTGTTCAGGTGCAGGAAATCCAAACTGTAAGACCCGGCCTGCAGGAAGGACCGGCCACCTTCGCACCTTGACTATGCACCACCACTCACTCTCCTTCCCAGACCTCCTCTCATACCAAGTCCCCGACGGCTTCTAGTTACAAAGGTGTGGTTCAAACAGTCCCTTGCCCAGGCTGGCCCCATAGTCTAGTGGTTAGGGGAAGCCAGATTCCACGTGGCTGACTGCAGTTCAAGTCTTGGCCCCAGCACCGTGAAAATCGTGCCGGGCTCATGTGCGTGTGTGCCCCGAATCCCAACAGGACGGAGAAGCGGAGGAGAGGGGATTGCTGTGTGACCACGCCCCACAGTGTGTGTTGGGGTGCTGGCTTTCTCTCTTTCTGGCAAGCACAACACACCCTCTGACAGTTTAAAGAAAGAAAAAAGAAGAAGAAACTGAAAAGGGGCCGAGGTCCTATGGGGAGAAGACCCTCCTGGGGAAGGCAGGGATGGAGATGTCTTTGGCGTCTTGCAGTTTCAGAGGGCTCAGGGGCGTTAAGTCACTTGGGTCATGCCCACCTGCTGGAAAACTGAGGGGGCTCTGCACACGGTATGTGTTGAACTCCCCCTACGGAAGCCCAGACTACCCTCAAGGACTCCTCCGACCTCTTCCTCACTCTGAACTGGAGAAAAGTCCTCACCAGGCAAAAGCACTGGACTCCAGGAGTTCTAGTCTGGGCAAATAAAGCAGTGGACATGCTCTGGGGGCATTTCATGAGAAAGTGCGGGGCTGGGGGCCTGGCAAAGGGAGGAGATTCCGTCTAACTTCGAGGTCTTGTTCACACACCCCCACACACACCCCAGTAACTGAGGTTCTGAGCAGGTGTCTGTTCCCACTGTGGAAATTCCCTTCCTTACGTATAATCTGTATGTCTTGAAAGTCTATTTTAAACTCTTTTAAAATAATTATTTTTCAAATTTTATTACCATTATGTTTTAGTTTTGCTATAGGACATACGCCTGCACTAGAGAGAGAAAGTGAAAAGGCAAGCCGCCCGGTCCAGGACTCAAACTGTAGTTGGCCATGTGGGAGTCCAGGGCCTTAACCACCTACAGGCCCCTGAACTCATTTCGCTATTCCTGCGTTGGGCTAGTGGCTACAGTGGAGGGGAAACAAACCCCTCAGGCCGGAGCAGGCAGGCTGTGCTGCAGAAACACCCACATTGGGGCTCTGCCCTGCTCTCCCCAAGTCTCCAGATGGAGCCCCCCTGGAGACTGTGCATAGACTTCCCTGTGAAAGGAAGGTTCCCCCACTCCCTCTGTATCAGTTACCTGAAGTCCTGTGAGAAAGACAGCTCTGAGCAGCTCTTGACACTGGGCCAGTTTCTAGCATTTTCCATGGGCTTCGTAAAGGGAAGAGTCCCACAAGGGTGGGGACCCCAGGACATCTGTGGGGTTCCACCTGAGGCAACAGACCAGGCAGGAGAAGAAGGTGACAAAACGGGAACAGTGAGTAGATCTAGGACAGCACATACTTGGAAGGCACCAACCGAAGACCAACCACAGCTCCTGGGGCTGGGGGACTGGGCAGAGCCCTGAGCATTGGCGTAGCTGGGAGGGAAGGGGCAGGGTGCCAACCTGCTGGAGAGGGCTGACGGCAAAATGCTAAGCAGGTGGGGCAGCCCTACCACGCAGGAAGAACTCCATCTCCACGTCAGCCCGGTCGAGTCCCGCACTAGCGAAGCCCCAGGAGCCACCCTCGGAGGGCAGGCGCGGCCTCTGTGGTCCGGCCTTCTCCCCACTATGAGCAACCTGGGGGCCTTTGCACCGGCTGCTTTAGATGCACGCACCGCACGGCGCCTGCCTCAGCCTTCCAGGCGCATCGTGGGTATGATACGCGGCCCGTGAGGACTCCACCGCCGCCTCCTCCTCGGGGCACCCTGGAGCTCTTGGCCCTCGTCTTCCGCGACTTCCGGCTTCTCAATGTCCCGCCAGACCCAGTGGGAGCTGAGCGAGGTGGCCAGGAGGGGCGGGAAGGGACCTGCCGCAGGCCCACCTGCAGAGGATTCCCATCCTGCCGCCCACTCAGCTTGCTCTAGGGTGGGCCTCGATCCTGCACGAGGACTCACCCGCCGCCCCAACCGCCCCAACGGCACCAACCGCTGCCCTCAATGCCTGTTTATGCCAACAGCGTTCTCTGGCGTGCGGGAGCAACCGCTCGCCCGCCCACAGCGCACCCAAGACAACCCCAGCTGGACTGAGCGAGGCAAAACTTGGAGCAGAGAAGGGAAAAAACATTAAAAACCAAACCAAACCAAATCAAACACACACACACACACACACAATATGAAATAAATAAAGATACTGAAAGAATGTATCTTCCCTACTTTCTGACTCACGAATGCCAAAGAAACAAAACTTCCTGGAGAGCCTAACGTTTATTTCTTTGGAGCAAATACATCTGAGGTCAAGG